ATTAGGAACTAATCTAAACGAAATACCAATAAAAATCATAAAAATATAACTATATACATAAAATAATATCATGTCCCAACTTTGTGGATGCTCTCTGGATTACATAATATATTTCAAATCACCTAATTGTATGCCAGGCTAAAAAGCAAAGTTTTCAAATGACGCTCAAATGTGTTAATATCAGTTATTGCGCGCAATTCAAATGGAAGGTCATTCCAAAGTGCAGGCGCAGCTGCAACAAACGCTCTATCCCCTAAGGTGGCCCGTGTGCGAAAACTAGGATAAGCTAGCAATATTCCTGTAGATGAACGCAGATTGTAGTTGCCTTGACTCTTGATTGAAATCAATTCTTTTATGTACGGTGGCGCGAGACCTATTCAAGCATATACAAAATCAGGGATTTTTTTTGCGTCATTAATATTTTCGAAAGACTAGCACTTTAAGCTTGATAATTAATTTTCCATAGTTTCTAAGATATTGAGATCTAAAGTTGATAATTTCAAAGACTTTATGAACATTTTACGAGCAGAGCAAAAATGATGTAATGAGATATAAAACTCTGGGAGCTGTAGAGCATTTGAAAAGCAAGAGAAACACTGGGCTACACCTCATATTCCTAAGCTTGCTTATCTCTACAGCTCTTAGCGTGTTTATGTTACAATACAAAGACTTGCACACACATTTTATATTCCTTAAATATACAGTCAATCCCAAAAAGGTTGACCAAAACGAAATGTACAAATATGCAAATATAAAAATATAACTGTCACATGACTATTAACAATGGTTAGAATAAATAAAGTGTTTTGTAGTACAAAAAATAAAATAAAACAACCAGTTGGTCACGTGACAGTTATACTGTATCGGCCCCCTGCACTAAGTCTGGGGGGCAAAATCATGACTTTTTTTTGGCATAAGAAGAGACCGCCTATTGTTTTATCTCCCAGAGCAATTCCTCTAGGAAATCAATGCAAGGGGTATATATTTGTATATTTTGTTTCATTCAACCTTCTTGGGATTGACTGTATATTCTATAAAAGAAATGCTAGAGACTGTTAGTTAACCGGGTCGAAGACATAGGCCACGGTTATCTTCTTTTCCACCTGTATCCATTTTTCAAGGCCAGTTTTTCCATCACGACCCATGTTCCTCAGAACCCTTATAAGGTAAGGCACCGGTTTACAAAATTTGCTGCAGTTTGGGCAAATAGCTGTGACGTCGATCATTGGAATCTGGGTTATTCCAATGTCCACTCTTACTCGCTTGTATGGGCAATATCTTCCAACGACTTCTTTAACAGTAGTTTTGTTATATTCACGTTCGAGACGAAATGCATTCACGAAGAAATACAACCTTTGAAGTCGTCGAAGAGCTTTCCCGGGTGTCATTTTCAACTTATTACAACTTCCTCGACGTTGGGGGTTACTTTCAATAGTTTGATTTCTGCTTTGAAATGAAAGACGTTCGCGCTTGTTGACCATTCCATCACCGCCTTTCTTTGAAGGGGAATTCTTTGCTTCTTGTTCTTGTTCGCCATAAACAGGCGCAAGGAGCGCGACCAAAATCATGAGGAGAAAGAAGACGAGAAGTTTACCGCGCCTTGAGAGAGCCATTCTAACGTACAGTCTTCAGTGCTGTTCTGTGCCTGCTTGGGGAGTTGGTCAGTGTAGACTGATTAATGATGAGAGAAAGTATTGTCCTAAAACAGTAGCCTGATTTGTCAAGATGATTTTAGAATACCAGTTGCATAACGGGTGATTATTGCTGATCACCATCCGTTACGACAGCAGGAAAAAATTACTAACTACTTCTTTTCTTTAACTCACACGATTATAACGTAATATAATGCAAGTTATAAAATATTTGAGAAACTACTCGCGCTCTGATTGCTTGAAACGCTTGACCATCTAAGTTAAGCTAAAACCTGGAATGTAGAACTGAAGAAGTCCATTTATTACCATGGCTGTATCGTATATAATGCCTAACAATTTGTGAATTAGTTCATATTATTTCTTATTTATATATAACTTACTATATTGGGCAAGTAAGTTAGCTGAAGGAGTAAGACATATATCTGGCTATCTGATAGCTAAAACTTTCAGTTATTCAATAATAACGTGTAACAAAACGGAGATGAACAGTCAGTAAACGTCGTTAATCACCACTAGATTTTCTTAACATCATTCAAAAAGCTTCAAATATGTTTTCAAATACTTCTTCAGCATGCAGCCACTTTTAAAACCTCTATACGATGTTCGTTAGACTTTCCTGCACAAGAAAATCACCAGCTATAGAGTCCAACCTCGATACCCTCGACAACATCCACTGCCTTTTTTCCTGACAATCGTCTTCATATTTTGCTTTCAATTTTTACTTCAGTTGTTTAKTTCTACTTTATTTTGTTGAGTTTTGAAACAAACACCGTGAAATAAATTCATTGTTTGAGCAAGAGTCAATGGGCTTACCCCAAGACCAACGAAAGACAGCTAGGATCGCTTTGAGTGTATATTTCCCTTATGGAGAATAAACTCGTCCTATAAATAGCGAAGTCGAGCTAGCTTTTAAGCTGAAGAGTGCCTTTTGCCATGAATCTTTTACCTACGAGTCTTTAAAAGTGAATATCAGAAACCATGAAGTAATCAGTAAAAGTCGGTAGAGGAAGTCTCGACTTGTTCACGATACGATTGAATGATCTTACCTCGCTTACTTCAAATGAACATTTGACTTATCGAAAGTCTAGTTTAGACGGTTTTTTTATTTTTTTACTTCAACCTGCTTCTTTCTTTCATTCTTTTGACATACAAAACGAATGCCGCGTGTGCGTGTGCGCAAGGTCAGTGCTAGATAGGCTATAATCAGGAAATCCCTAGTACAGACTCGTACCCAGTCGTCACACGTTTTTTCTTCTGTAGTTCGCAATAGGATATGGAAAAGCGATTAATGGGTTCCAAGGCTTTTATCCTTAACTACCTTCCCGTCAACCACAGCGTGAGTAAGAGAAGCGACTGTGTAAGAAGAGTCTGTGGAAAAACGTATGACGACTCGGTACCAGTCTGAATAACGACTGAATACGAGTATTAAGTGAGCACCTGCACGAGGCTGTCCATAAAGTTCAAACCGTTTGAGTTTTTTTTAAATTATCGGCTACTTTGAACAGCAAAAATTAGTGATAAAATTATACGACGTTTCGACATCTCAGATGTCATTATCGTCCACTTTAAATTCATAGGCTTCGGTGAATTTAGCATCTCCATCTTGGTAACTGTCCACGCTTCGTTCACGGGCTGCTGCCAAATTTGTCGAGGGCTGGATCGCGTAATTATGAAAGGCGCTGTAAAGATGTTGTCTTGAATTCCTCTGTAACTCGCGAAAAATATAACGGACAAAGATCATGGAAATTTTGGACATCTATATCCAGCATCGATTATGATCTATCTTTTTCAAGTTTTATCTCATTTTTGGAGATATCTTGTTACATTTGACCTTTAAATTTTCTCCATTAACTTTCTTTCACTTTTCTTTCAGTGAGATTTAGAATACGTTTTAAGATACTTATTTTCGCTTTTAAGGCTATTCATGGTCTCGCTCCTAGTTACTTATCTGATTTAATTTCTATCAAAAAGCAGTCTGGTTATAATCTTAGGTCCAATAATGAGCTTTTATTAGCACCTCCACCGACTAAACTTCGACCTACTCTTGGTGGTAGGACTTTTTCATAAGCTGCGCCAGTAGAATGGAACACTTTACCATCTAGTATTAGACATATTACATCATTACCTTCTTTTAAAGAACACTCAAAGACATATTTTTATAGAAAAGCCTTTATTTAGTTGTTTTTGCAATTCCCATTGATTAATTTAGCTTTTATGTTTCTAGTTATTGTGTATTGTTTCTGTATTCAGCGCAGATGAACATCTTGTGCTAATCTGCGCTTTATAAATGTAATTTATTATTATTATTATTACATTATATTAGATTTTGTATCACGGTGAAATGGCATGACACACGGCACTGTCAATGTATGGAAAGGATAAAATCTTTTTAACCAATCACAGTGCTAATGCACTAGTGCTCGTGCATTTATAATGCGGCTTGGACACATATAGCATCCGGCCTCACCGCATTCATAAACTCTTAATTAGACCCAAATATGATAATTTATATTCTTTTCAATGTGGTACACTCTTATGCTTTAACATTATACTATTATTATCATTATTACAGGACTCCAGATCACACTAAGTTCATTGGAAGTTTCAAAACAAAGCAAGACTTCATTGATCTTGTTGAGGTTGTTTTACGAGGAGCACTGAGAGGCAAGCTTATCGTTACCTCTCCCATTGACCCAAAAAATGTACCTAAATACACCTTGTTGTACAAGGACATTTGAATGGCTGAATAAATGTCAAGCAAGAAGGGATTGAAAATTTCATCGTTTTGTGGACTGAAGTGAAAGAACAGTGTTTTCAAGAGGAGAAAACCCTTTTATTGGATCAACTGCAAGAAGAACAATGTTTTCTTTGTGTATTTTACCTTTGACTGTCTTATGATTTTGATATCATCTCTAAAATACAAGTCAGGCCTTGTGTGTCACTGGCAAGGAGAAAGATGATGTAGGTTAGAGAAAGAGTTATATGGCAACTAAGGAAGTAAAGGAGGAAAGAGTCAAAATCATGAGTGTAACTTTTGGTGCAGTGGTTTTTGAATCATTGTACCAATTATTACACTGTTTATTCTATGTAGCTTTGAATTACACACCATTACGCCAGGAAGAAGCTTGCAGAAGGTAGCAACTGCACAGTCAAGAGCTCAAAAAGAATATGTGAGGGCTGTTTCTTGAGGACGACAGGTGATGATAGCTTAAATGAGCTAGTAACATTTACACACTCAGCAACTTAAGATTAGATATACTAAACCCTACCTCTTTGAGAAGGAAACAAAACTATCTGATAGAACTGTAAAGGGGCAAACAAAATATCCCAAACCTCCCCTCCCTTCTCTCTGTAGATTGGAAAAGGGGTCACAGAGAAAAAAGCTCCCAACCCTCCCTCCCCCACTCTAAAAATAAATATACGGTTAGTGACATTTTGTGATTTAATGAGAGTTCAAAGTATGGAAAAGAGAAGAAACGTTTTTGAATCAGCCCTGTGGGAGGAATAGGACAGCTTAATTGGTTTAGCGTAAGCCCGGCTGTTTGCCAATGATTACTGATAATCCTGCTCTGTTCTTAAGATAATACATTAATCCATGTTGAGACCCATGGTTCTTAAGATTTGTTATTTAATGGCATATTTATCCAATATACAGAGGTAGTAGTTAACATCAATTGGTTTCTAGCACTAGTATCTTGGTCTTATGAAATAGATTCTTCGTAGTAAAAGTTTGATGTACCTGTTGTTCTTTGAGGTTAGAAGTAAATGACGCGCTTATCGTAAAATGCAAATGTTTGATCTTTTTTCTCGATATGATTTTTAAAAGATTTAGAGCTACATTCATCCTGATCTTGGATAGAATTTCGCTGGATGCGCACTTTTCTTTAAAACAGATCTTTAATGAGTGGGAAACGTACCATACCTTGACTCTCAAATAGCATTTATCCTGAACCAATAAAAAAGCTTGAAATTTCCTCCTTCCAATCAATGCTAGAATCGGGAAGCCACTTCAGAGTCAATGGCTAGTGCGCTCGTACGAATCTGCTCTATCGAACTAAACTACATAGCGTGACCGTGTTGTGGGTCGATACTCCAACAAGTGCTTGATAATTAGCTAACAATTTACCTTGGCACTGAGCCCAACAAGAAACCAAAAGTAACTAGTGGTAAAGAAGAACTTCCTTGTTTGCTGTCATCAGAAACTAATAAAATGCACAATTTTTTACGACCTTTCGCTCGTGCTATTCTCTCCCAGTTTCCTTGGTATTGACCTGATCTATGGTCCCCTCGTGACGTACACTTAATTGTTTTTGTTTTTTTGTCTTATCTTTTCGTGCTTAGCTACAGTAGTCAAACTCGACTGTGTTGAGGTGAAGATTGGAATCAGACCGGGGTACGCGACTTCACTTAAGGTGAGAAAAAGATCAAGATCTGTATCATAATATGCGATGTTATCTTATAACTGGCAGTTATTTTTATTGATTCTATTTGTGATCTTGATTTTCTGTGATGATTTCATCTACGGTAACTTCTATAACCTCGTAAAATTGAGGAACAACGTTGGCAGTAATTAGGAAGGCGGCGTCTTTAATATGCTTCTCAATGCGTAGGAGGGCAGGTTATAGCTCATTTTCCTCCAGTTTTGGACGTGCTTAAGTATTGTGATGACAAATACCATCATTATAACGTTTTATTTATCAAATTGTAAAAAAAAGTGATAGTGGACTATCCCTGACACAGGAACGTACCTTATGGTAACGCAAGGATCTTATTTCTATGTCAACAATTTCTTGATGTAGTTGTATTTCAACATTGCGCTACTGCATTCCTTCGGCTTTAAATCATTAATATCTTTAAAATGAATCAGGAAGCTTTGAGAAACAGTCCCTTGAGCTGCCACGCAGGCTATTCACGTTGCATTCTTAGTCATAATGACGCAATAAAGGGGTAGGCTAGTCAGGGAAGGAACCGGGAAGGCGTTTCTCTGCTCTGCGTAAGGTCCAAACCCACGAAGATTTTGCTTGCCAAAAACGAAATATTTGATCTTACAGATTTCTTAAATCACTCTAACATGTTGAAGTTTTATTTAGTAATGGATAAACGACCTTTTTTAAGAGTACTTTTCGGGCTACCAGTCCTACTGAGCATTGATGACTAAGCCGTACTCTCCAAGTGTAAATTACATGGACTAAAATTTGCTGAAGTGAGGTCCAGTGTTTCCTCCGCCTAGCATAAACAGGTTTTCAAACGCCAGCCCCTTGAAAATTATAAATTGTTTCATCATTACTTCGTGAACCCTTCTTGATTAAGTTTTCGACTTGATTAACGCTGTTTAAAAAAATTTTTGTTGGAGTGAACCCTGAAGTACAGCGAGTTTTTCGTCGTTTTCTCAAAATAACTTTAGTTTTTAGAAAACTTCGAACCGGAACTGAGAATAGAAATATTTTTGTCTGATCTTAAATATCAGTGGCAGTGATGAAAGTATTAGCTAGGTTAGCATGGGGGGGATTTCCGTTAAGAGACAGAGTGAAGTGGCAGGACTTGCACGTTCGCATTCGTGTATCAAGCTTGACCTTGGGCGGTCAATATACCACTGATGATATAACGTCAAACATTCTCAAGTAACATCACAAATTACTTCATTCAGCGGATTTGACTCACGAAAAAAGTTGTTGTTTTGTAAGCTGTTAATTGCCGTATTGCATGCCTGATGCAAATCAAGGTTGCAAGTCTAATGTGATAATATGATGTGTCGGCACGTCACTAATTGGTTGTGAGGTCGGAAAGTCTTTGATGAACTCGGTATTACACGTAACAGCTTATCTTTCTGTTTACAGCTAAGAGTCTCACTTATGATCCTGAAGTGTGTTTTCATTCGTCTTATTTAGTACTCTTAGCGTTAGAGTCGTCTGTTCTGATCCAGGCTGCTGATGTAAAGTGCAATAACATGGCTGTACGTAGTTGTAGAAGGAAATCTTTATCCATAGCTGGTCTTCTGTTGGTATTCGCTGTGCTGGCATTGAAAACACGACCTATGTCCACGACTCACATTGACAAAGAACTAAAATTACTTGAAGAGGAAGAGAGACGACACGAGGCAAGTTGTACTCACAACCGTCGCTTAAAGCGTCATGATCAAGCAATGTTCCCTCCGACGCGGCCGACTGGAGCACGTTTTGGTAAAGCGCTTCGTTTTTTTGGAAGAGAATTGATTCGATTCGCTGGTCATCGCGTGGCTACTTTGAGAGAATTTACTATCGACTTTTGGATGAAACCAGAAGGAGGTCAACAATCTCCTGTCAGTGTTCTCGGGTTGTTTGACGACTGCTCCCTTCAAGCATCAGATAGAGGATGGAGAATAGGTCTCCAAGAAGCCTCGCCTGAGAAAAATCTGCGTGTGTTCTTTAGCTTACGAGCTGCGCGATTACACAAGAGTACCTCAATCCTCTCACCTCTAAATGTCGAGCCGAATGTATGGATTCACATTGCTGCTACCTACGATGGCCGCAAGATGAAACTCTACGTTAATCAGGCCAATGTTGCGGTGTCATCCGACCAAAAGGGGCATGTATTTGCTAAAGCACTAATGCCAGATCAATGTGAATCCCTCGAGGCTGGGGGTGATATCAATGCTAATATTTACTATCGTGGAACTATAGATGAATTAAAGCTGTGGTCTGTTGCGAAATCACATCAAAGTATTAGCCTTGGTGTGTTTGATAACAAACTATTGGATAAAAATGGCTTTATTTTGTACGAAGACTTTAACACTGCTTCTGATAAAGGAGTTTTTCGTGCTTCATGGGTGGCAGTAACGAAGAGTTTACCTGAAATAGTCAAATCTACCATCCCAAGTGATGCAAATGACTTAACCATCAGTAAGCCCCCCTGTGGTAGTACGGTCTGTGACAACCCTGAAGTCGTACGCAGTTATGTTAATAACACTCATCTTCGAGATCGTAAGGTTTTACGATTCAGGATTATCAATGTTATGGAAAATGATGGAGGAAATCCGATCGTCACTCAAGAACAAATACGACACCAAACGGAAATCCTAAACAGTTCTTTCCAGCGATATAACATCTCTTGGGAGCTTCATGAGGTCAACGTGAAAAACACATCGCTACGTCTTCGAACTGTGTTGTATATGTGTTCACCGAAGAAGATTGGAGATATGGAATGCAATCCTGAATGTGACTTTCCCATTACAGGACAAGATGGCGGTGATTGTATTAAAGCAGGTGGGTCTAGATGCGACCCGTCTAAACGAGATAACGGGAAATGTGACCTTGAATGTAACAGACATGATCATCTGTGGGATTATGGAGACTGTTGCAACCCTAAGATTACTCTTACACATAAAACATGTTTTGACCCTGCGTCACCCTACAGGGCTTACATCAGTGTGCGCGAGTATAAAACTCTTTTAAACTTTTCGAATCATCAGTACCTCAACGTTTATTTTGCGCAGTGTGGGGACCAGTGTGAAGACATCTTCCATGGTTCAGCAACCTTCCCATGGGAAAAAGCTGTTCATAGTAATCTAGGAGGCGTGATTATAAACCCGACTAAATTTGGCCTCAAGGGGCATTCTAATGCAATAATCCATGAGTTCGGTCATATGCTTGGATTATGGCACGTTCATCATGGTGTATCAGAGTTAAGATGCACTGATGAATGTTATGAACACTTCCCATCGATGGAACTGGGTGATTTGTGTTCTGATACCAACCCAACCCCACGAAACAACAGGTGTAGAGATCCATCTCCACAGAAAACCGAAGGAAATTGCAGAAAAAGATACTACAAGGACACGCCGTTTAGGAACTACATGAGCTACGCTGACGATTCCTGTACAGATTCGTTTTCTCCGCAACAGGTGGCACGAATGCATTGTTACATCGATCTGGTCTACCAATCATGGCAGCCAGAGATAACAAAGCCTTCTTTCATACCCCTCCCCCCTCGGGTTACAAGTGACTTTCCTGGGAGAGTCGCCATAACGTGGATCCCTCCTCTGGGTACAGGAGGTGAGAATGCCAAGAACATGTGTCATTATTGTCGAGAGAACAGTGTTTTACACCAGTACGCAGTTACAGCTTATTCTCCCATCTCGGACAAACCCAACGGCTTCTGGGCTCCACATCAAGCTATCGGAGCTCCCGATGCAGACCCTTGTGAACTCTCTCCAAAGGCCTGGTCCCCTCTACGTAAGACCCCCTGGTGTGGTAGTAACTGTTACATAGAGCTAGGGTTCAACGAGGCTATCGTACCCACCAGCTTGTCAATATGGGTTTCTTGGCATTCTAACGAAGGTATTAGTGACATCCAACTCTGGTTCGAAGATTCGACTTTCAAGTCATTAGGTAATGCGACTGCGCAGTGCGACAAACCGCTGACCATGGCCATCAAGACCAACAAGAAAGTGTCCAAGGTGCGTGTTTATGTGAGAGACTCATTGACGTGCATCGATGCTGTGCAACTGACATCGTCTGTGTTGCATCCTAACTGCATTCGCTGTAAACCACTAGAATACCACGTGACTCGTGACCCGGCATTTACATCTGCCAAGCCAGTAATCGTCAGGGAGACCAGGTTTATAGACCAGTAAGTAATTAATTCAAATATTGTCATATAGTATTGCTTGATGGGCGAGCTACTGGCAAAAACCTCGGGAATGACACATTGCATTGTGGGATAGCTTGAAGAGAAATGAGGAAATTATCATTCCCACAATGCATTGTGCGTCAGAATATTATTGCATAATGTAATAATACTTTCAGATTACCCAAAATATCCAACTAACACAGCATCAAACTGAGGTGAGAGGGGATGGGAGAGTGTGTCTGTGGGGTGGGGGGGGG